TTTGCATAGTTATTGTTCCTTAAATGTCTCATAGTTAAACACTAACTTTAGTGATCTCAATAAAATTCTTTATAACTTATCAGCTAAAAATGGTATATTATTAAATAGCAAATGCAAGTTTAAGACGTTAAAATATTATTAATGCAGGGATTATAAACAAATTTTATTCAATCTGATTTCTATCTTTTATTCTGGGTCTTAAAACAATTCTGTACATCTATGTATGAAAGTACTGCTGATTACAGTACGTCAGAGATTTAATAAAGATCATTCAATCCATGATTTCTCTGGTGAAAAAGATTTTTGTCCCTTGGCAGAAAGCGATACATAAACATGTACCAACAATTAAAGGACTAGCTAAAATTTATTCATCAGTCAGGTGCTTTCATGAGACACCATGATAAGGCAATGCTGTGATTCCATGGTTACTTGCAAAACCTTCAATTTTTCATGCCAAATATATGTTAGCCTTTTCTTTTCATTAGATTATAAAAAAGAAAGTATTTTGTATTTTTGCAAGCAACCCCGTGTCTTTTTTTTTATTATTTTAATAACCAGTACATATGTTTTAAATTTCTTTAACAGTTGCGATAAAACAAATAAATTGAAAATTAATTTTAAGAATATTTACAAAACTAGGAAAACGCGTTCATTAAGTCTTTTGTCGAAAGAAAAATAATAATGAATTTATTTTTCTTTCCTAGATAAATGTGGTACGTTTACGGGTAATTATTTTCTTTTTCTTCACATGACATTTGTTTCGTTTTATGATACTACATCGTTATTCTTAATATATTAGTTCTTTTTATGAAATTCACAATGACAGTATATATCAAATGTAAATACATCATTGTGTTCACCACAATTTTCATACAATAATGTTACACAAATCAAATGGTTGTCATTCAAATTATACATAACACTGCTATTAGTGTATCGATATGTTCTGTAGAGGCAGCATTATGGCCCCACAAAATTACACGTTCAGTAAATACATTTGGACGCTTTAATCTTGCAGAAATTGTACGCATATTTACAAC